ATTGTATTTACACTACTACTACATAGAAAATTCGTTTTTTCCATTATTATCTGCTGTAGTCGTTGAAGGTTACACGAACAATGAACCTATTTTTTTGGATGGATGGATGGATGCTTATTTCGAAACAAAGACAAAATGTGAAGAAGAAGAACTTGAAGAACTTATAGAATTGAATTGATTATAAGCGACTGAAAAAGGAATGAGAGGTGCAAATTTTGGTCATCATTTTCTTAGTTTTCTTGATTTTTTCTCTACAAAAATCATTATTATTATTATTATTATCATTGGATGGGTATCCATCATCATTACATTTTTATGAAAAAAAATGGCAAACAATGAGCAATCGACTTAATATAAGTATAAAGAATGAGAAAAAAAGATTTCCAAAAAGTTATTTGAAGAGAAATGATTTCGATTCTTGAATTTGATTATTAACTTCTTTTTTCAATTATTAATATTGGAAAAAGAAGAAAGATTTCATCTAGCACAAGTTCAAGGCTACAGTATATAAGGTATATGATTTGAAATCTTTTTGTTGTTGTTGTTCAATAGATTTAATCAAAAGTAAATCAAAAATTTACTGATGACAAAAAATATCGATTTTTGTTTTGTTTTGGTTTGTTTTCATATCGATTTTTTTTTATCCTAATCAAACATCAATGTACCAACAATGAAAAATAAAAACATGGATAACGTGATCAAATCATTAGCCTGATGGAACACGAGTATTTGTTTTTTGTTGATTGTTCCACGATGATCATGACGATGATCATGATGATGGTGGTGCTTGAATGTTTTGAATGTGGAAAAAAAACCAGAAGTCTTTTGTTTTGCTTTTTTGAACAAACAAACAAACAAACAAACGAAAGAACCAAAAAAAAACAAACATTTGGCTAGAGTGAATTTAATGAGTTTGGAGTGAAAAGGAAAGAAAATTAATTAACCAAAGTTTTTTATCATCATTTATTTGTCTCCTTGAAAGATGGGCCCAAATTTTGTATTTGAGATTTTCATTCTCTATTCTTGGTGCCTCATCGTTGTGGACAAACAACAACCAAATTTATAATTACAATTCTCTTAATTTATTTTTTTGGTTCATTTCAAAATTCTTTTCAAAAAAAATGTGGTTTTTGTTCCTTGTCTCCCTTGTTCTTTACTTACATACATCTGCCAATGATTAAATGGACATGGAAATAGCCAAAACAAATCTTATTTATTTGCTTCTGTAATTCATTGAGTCAGATTCGAAGAGGATCGATTTATATAATAAATCTTTCTTGATAATAATTTAAAGAAAATCTGGTATTATATTTTGAAACAGAAAAAAAAGTTAACTTTTTTTTTTGATTAATTGATTCATACCAGCATTTTTTTTGTTGTTGCCATTATCAGTCTGCAAAAAAAAACATCTGCATCAAACCAAAATTGATTCAATTATCATTATGTAATAATGAAGGATAGAAAATATTCCATGTTTTTTTCCTATTCACTTTCTTGGTTAACAACAAATTCCCGTAATAAATACCGGTCATATCGCTGACCGGTATGGTTGAGTATGCGATCTTTTGTACATACACGAGAAAAAAAATCCGGTAAAACAAGGTGAAAAAAGTGTCCGAACAACAACATCACAAACCACTTTTATGTCGCCATCATCATCATCATCATCAAGAAACTTACAAAGCATCATTGATTATGACCCGGTTTTTTTTTTTGATATAAATAAGGGGTTGCAGTTCACTAGGCCACCAGTGTATGATATGATGGTTGAATATATTGGTGTTACACAAGCGCGAGCGTACGAAAAAAAAACCAAAAACATACGGTATTGGAATATTGAAGGACTTTAAGAGGTCAGGTAAAATATTGATTGTGTAAAAAAAACTGGACAGCTAGGTACCGGTTTTTTTCATTCAAATTGATTGTGTTTAGCTATAGCTATGGCCTGATTTTTTTATTTCTTACTTCTCTATTTCACTTTCACCTTTTTTTCGTCGTTATTCGTTCGTTATCTAGGACCTTAAAGATAAGAAATTTTTGTTTACCTACCTCAAAATCTTACTAGACATAGTTGATTTTTTTTTGTAGGTGAAATAATTTGACCAACACACAACGTATCGGTCAGTTGGTCAATCATACATGTGGGTCAAATTTTTTTTTTCTTGAATGAAAATCGAAAGGGACCAGATGGCCTAATCATTACGTTATAACGTTATGTCCTGTTGTTGATGATTTTTCTTGTCTATATTTTCTTGTTATGTGTGCTTTTTTGTGGGGTTACATAAAAAAAAGAAAAATAAGGTTATTTTTCTTACACTTCAAAGGATTCCTTTTTTTTCCTTCAATCTGTTCAACCAACAATAATGGTTCCGGTCAATGGTCAAAATATTTTAAAATAAATAAATCAACAAAATGCCGATTTTCAAGCAAATCAATCAATCAATCAATCGATCGATCAATTCAAATGATCATTAATATTCTTTTTTATCATATTTTCTACCTACTCACTGCTCTCAATAATAATAATAATAATAGTGCGTATTATTTGTGCTTAGTGTATATTTAATATCAAAAAATGATGTTTGAATTTTCGAAAATGATGATGTCCACAGATTTAGTGAATACCATAAGAAAATATATTTAATCATGGTCGGATGGTTAGTTGATTTCTGCCTTTAGGGCGTCCGTTTCGTACGTTTTCTCTACAATTTTCATTTACAACCAACCAAAGTAAAAAAAAATATGGATGATGATTACTGCTTGCAAAGAAACGAATTTTTTTGTTTTTGATGAAGACAAAGTCCGCAATCAAGGTCAAGATGATGATACAACATCAATAACGAATGAAAAGCATCTTTTCTCTTTCACTTTTCTTTCCTTTTTTTCCATCAAATACAAATTACCTGAATCAAGAAGAAGAAGAAGAAGAAAAAACCATCGAACCGAAAATAACTTTTGAAAAAAAAAGAGAAAAAAGAAAATAAAATTGATGGATAATGAAAGTGAAAGGTAACATTCAAAACAAAAAAACGGCCAAAAATAAAGAAGAAAACCAGATTTGGAATATAAAAAATAATAATGATTATTTTACGTTCTCACTTATTTCTCTCTGGTATTTCGGATTCCAAATGAGAATGAAAGAAGATAACATAAAATTCATTGCCAGATGAATAAAAAAAACCTGAAACATCCATGGATATAATGATGCATTGGTTTTACACGAACTGGAATTTTTTTTTGATTTCTGGCCAAGCAACCGAGATAGACCACCGCCACCACCACCAACGGTTACAAGAATCAACATTCATCCAAACAGGTGCTGTCGAGCAGGTTTTTTTTGCATCTTTTTTTTCGATCTTCGGACCATTCATAATCGATGAAAAGGACCAACAACAAAAAAACAAAATCTTATCAATATGAATCGAAGGTAAGGTTGATGCTGATGAAAAGTACATCATGAATCAATGAAATGAAATGAAAATCACGAACAAAACCGTACATTACATTTATTGAAGGAAAAAAAACAATTTTTTTACCTATTAAAAAACCAATGTTTGATATTATTATGTAATAGTAGGCGAAAAACTCAAAACTCAAAAGAAAAAAAAAATTAATAGCATCTTTTAATACAAATATTTTTTCTTTAATATCAGGGGTTTAGTGACCTACACGCATATATTCTAAGAAAAGAATGTTGTTATCATTTGAATTGTATACACAAAATAAATGTTTTTTTTATTTATCAATGTCGATGGATGGTTTGCTGTTGTTGTTGATGATGATTATTATTATTTATTTGTGATTTTGATGAGAATATAATATCACTTGAAATCAAATTGGAAAATACTACTACCATCACTATATAGATGTTAACTAAATAAAGATAATTTATTTAAACAAATAAAACATACAATAGTTCTATGTGTATAATGATATTCTAAAATTAAGAATTTCCAATGTTAACCTTTAACCTTTATTTGTTTTTTTCTAATAAATATTTTCAACAACAACCGGAAACTCTTGTTTTATTTTATTTCAAAAATCAATGTTTATTTTTTATTTGGCATTCCAACTAATACGGTATTTTATTATTGTTGTTGTTAATGTTAAAATTCAACAAGTGGATGCCACCGGTTTGTTGTTTGCATGATGTGTGCTTATATTATATAACATGACATAGAATGCTGCATAGCATCATCATCACTGATAACGATTGATTGTTGATTGGTAGTTCGACCGACCGACAGACCGCGATCCAATATCCTAGATAAAATCTATACAAATACCGTCATCATACTACATAATCATATCTATACTTTCTCTCAAAATAATAAAATTTCTCCTGTTAACTATCAAACAGATCACTGTTAAAAAAAATGAAACCAGCAAAACTACTTACTTGCTTACCTACCTACCTACCTCTCTATCTAACAACTGTAGAAAAAAATCATTCAGCTTTTTTTTTGTATATATCGCGCACGTTATGTGTATATATACGAATACCTCCCTTATATATTCCATACATTAATAGCTGGCGTAGCAAGTGTATTTTTTTTTTCTTGCTTCAATCCAAACCCCACCACCTTAACTTCTATCATTATATGAATGCTGAATGATGATGAAACCTGCATGCGAATGAGAGAGAGAATCACATGAAGAAGAAAGCAAAGTGAAAGCAAAAAAAAAAAAAAATACTTTCACTGTTAGCGCGCGCAACACGTTTTTTTTATTTATTTCTGCATTTCTACTTATCAACAGCCAAAAAAAAAAATGTTTGTGTGTTGGTGTTTAGCGTTTTTTGTTGGTTAGTTGATTGGTTGGTTGGTATTGAAGCAAACGATATTCAGTCAGTCGATGACTACCGACTAGCCAGGTTTTTTTTTGTTTTTTTTCTTTTGGTTTACAATCAAAAAAAAAATTTTCACAATTTACAATTTCACGTACACATCAGCCAAAACAAAGTATTATATGATTTGCCATTTGTTTGATAGCTACCATCGTGATTAGGTAATCAAGAAAAAAATTGATAGTTTTTTTTCCACTTTTCATTTCAAGAAAAAAATTCAAGAATCAAGTTGGAATTTTTTTCTGCTTAAAAATTATTGTCTTGTTTTCGCGTTTATATTTGACAAAAGTTAAGTTTGATTTGAATGACATTTTTTTCTGAGTTAAATAAAAAACAAAAATGCCGAAAGCATTCCTTATTCGTAAAAATCTTCAACAACAATATCAAAATCATTGTCATCAACAACAGCAGCAACAACAACAACAAAATCCGATAACAAATCATAATGTGATACCATCATCGAAATCTGGTTGGTCACCAGTAACACCACCACCAAGTCCAGATGATAATGAACCGGAAAATTTATCGATAAAAGCAAATATTTTGCCTGCACATCAATATAATAATTCTCATCAACAATCGCAACAACAACAACAACCTAGATATGATCATATTGGTGCATTAGATTTAAAAAATAAAAATTTTCATCAAAAATTTATCGATAATAATAATAATAATGATGATGAGGATATGGATGAAGCTGTTGATCTTACCTGTAGTAGTAGTTTATCATCTGTATCATCATCACCTCCACAATTAAATTCACATCATCCTCGTAAACGAAATCGTAATATATCAACATCCGAAAATTCATCTTGTTCATATTCATCATCAACAACATCAAGTCATTGTTATGGTAGCCTATCATCACCATTAAGCTATCATTCAAGTGAAAGTGATTTTGATATCAAAGGTAAGTTTATTATTCGAACATTTTATTAAAAAAACAAAAAACATTCGAAATTCCGTTATTCAATTACTTTGCATGGTCTATACACAAATGACATGTTATTCTTTGTTTTCGAATTCGATTGTCAAGTTATTCGATTGTTATGGAATAAAATTTTCAATTTTTCTAAAAAAATACAACTGATCAAATTATAATGATGATGATGATTCAGATGAATAAATTATTTTATTTTCGCAAATACAATATGACAGATGACAGGTGTCTACATTTTTTTTATTCTATTAATATAATAAAGTTGCAACTTGTTGCCAAATTATTGCTCAATTTTTTTAATTTACCAAAAAAAATTCACTGTTGTTTGATGAAATTTATGAAAAAAAAACTAATAATATCTTCTTTATAACGTTAAAAAAAACAGGACTATCATCATCAGCATCTACATCATCATCAACATCATCAACATTACTAAATAATGCGCTTAATTCCTATCTAAATCAACGACCATTATCATCTAATAGTATACATTCAATTCAATCAATAACCAATACAAATTTAAATCATCCACCTCCACCACCATCACATCATCATCAAGGAGCAATCGATTGTTCTAATCGTTTGAATCTGGTTTCAATTAATGAACATCAACGTTTACAATTGACAAATATATCAAGATCAAATGTTGGTGTTTGTCCATCATTACAATCATCATCATTATCATCCATAAATAACGAACAAACAGGTAAGATGTTTGAACAATTATTATTCGAAATTATTGTGAAAATGAAAAAAAAATGAAATGAAATCTTCAAATAAGAGAATTAAACAAAACAAAAAAAGAGGGTTCACATCATATTGTCATATATTGTTTGTTGTGAATGTTTGCAACATACAACAGCGAAAAAAAAACCAATTATTTTGGGAGCCAATATATTACTAACCATACCTTGAGTGAAGATCACTTTCACATTCATAGCGCGAAAAGCATTTAGCCATTATTTAATGATAATTTAGTTTTTCTCTTTCTCTTTTTTTTTATTTTAACGTTGTGCTTTGCGATTGAAATTGTATTGCTTTGTGAATATATAAAATATAAAAGCCCTTGGCATTGAAATTGGTCAAAGGCTTCTATTAATAATAATGATCGTCATTGTCGCGACGACGGCGAAAAAGAAAAAAAATGAAATGAACAAAAAAAAACAGGTTTGCGAAATACGTGAATAAATCATACATATATTTCAAGCATTTCCATAGATGCTTGAAAAGTAACAATCAATGATGATGATGATGATGGTAGTAGTGAGATGGGAGCCAGTTTCTTTTCAATCATCATCATCACTGAATATTCAAAAATTGTTCAGGTTATAATGCGTACAAGTATAATTATAGCGCACGTATGGTTAATGCGAAAAGATTTTTTCTTCTTTCTTTCTAAATCAATCTTGAATTACATTAGAATGAATTAATGTAAAAAAAAAGAAAGTGTGAGAAAGTAAGAAACTGGTCTTGAATTGTAAAATCCGTTTTCATTTTTCTTTTTTTTTGAGTCACACCATTAATTAATTAACATTTTAATTTTTCCCTCATTTTTTCTTCTCCGTTTTTTTTATAGCTCACCATCAACAGCAGCAACGATCATCCGTTATACACCAGACAACGAATGGTGGACATCATTGTATATCACAATCATCATTGAATAATAATGATGTTTCAAATGTTATAGATAATTTACAAAAATCAAATGAAAATGAACAAAAAAATAGTAGTAATAATTCATTAGAAGCTTTAGCTGCAGCAGCTTCAAATCTTTATCCTGGTACGGCAATTAATGTTGCATTAGCTGCTGCTGCCGCTGCAGCAGCAGCAGTATCGTCATCACCATCGCCGTCGTTGACATCATCAGGATCAGCCAATAATCAACGATCAAATTCAAAAACGATAACGCAATCATCCCCACCAACACCAACACCATCACTACCGATTGTAACAAATTCGTTACCATCTCCATCGCCATCATCATCATCATCATCAACACAATCGGATACAAATAATCCTCCACCTGTACATATAACCGCACAAAGACTAGGTAATTTAATCTCTACCCTTAGGCTTTTTTTTCGTTTGTTCATTGATCACGATAATTAAACGCATACATTCATCATTTATCTATCCCCACATTTCCGGCCCAAAAAAGCATCCTGTAATTAATTATTTTTTCTTTTGAATTTTAATTAGGCATACCATTACATTTGATTTCAACATTAGAATTTGTAAATGGTGGACATGGTATAAAGAATCCATTTCTAACTGCTGCTGAACATCAATTTAAATTTGAAAATAATAATAATAAATCCACTTCATCATCATCATCATCCGATGATCCATTAAGATGTTCAATCTGTGGTAAACGTTTTACATTGGCACGGCTACTTAATCGTCATCTAAAATGTCATTCAGATGTTAAACGTTATCTTTGTACATTTTGTGGTAAAGGATTTAACGATACATTCGATTTAAAACGACATACGCGTACGCATACAGGTAATAGTTGTGAGAACGATCTTTTAGCTAATAAACATTGAAAAAATTATATATTTTTTTTTGATGAACACCACCTTATATTACTTAGACACACAGTTAATATTTTAAACGAATAATTTTATGACCGTTGTCGACAACATGTTCACAACGGTCAATCAAAAAGAAAAAAAAACATCTTCCTGTGTAGTGTTTTTTTTTCTAAATAAATAAATAGAAATAATGTTGTTAGTTAGTTAGTTAGTTGATTAGGCACGCAAACACGTATGTGAACTTTGATTTGTTAACTTGGAAATGATGTTTTCTAGATTCTATGTATATATCATATTTATATAGTAAATATAATGCTAATAATTTATTCCATCTTTTTTTTCTTCTATTTCCATTCCCATCTTTACATTCGACAACGACCAAAAAAAAAAACGCCGGGAACATTCAAATACAACAGGTGTTAGGCCATATCGTTGTAATCTATGTGACAAATCATTTACACAACGTTGTTCATTAGAATCACATACATTAAAAGTACATGGAATTGCACATGAATATGGTTATAAAGAACGTCGTAATAAGATGTATGTTTGCGAAGAATGTGGTAAGTGTTTATTTTTTTCACTTTTTTTGACTGAAAAATTATACTATTTTCGTGATTTATTGGAATTTACAAACACACACACACGCACACATTATTCATAAACTTTGACCGATTTTCATCTAAATCTACAATTATATGACCCTGTTATTCATAAAAAAAATTATACCTTATATGAGTATTTTTCTACACTAGACCTGTCTAGATGTCTTGCTGGATGTTTCGATTCACACACGCACACCAACATACCTTCACAATCAAATCACAAATCTTTGACGTATTAACCGTTCAGGTCGACTATACTATCACGTATACTTATTATTGTTTCAATGATGCATGCGAATCTTTCTGCCCTTTTTTTTCGTTGTTGTTTTTGTTGACCGTCACTTCTGGGTCTGGTCGTCTGAGATTTTTTTTTTGTCTGATGACGGCGGTTAGGATTAGGTTAGGATTTTTTTTCTCTTTTTCTTTCACATTTTCTTGTTTTGTTTTGTTTGGACCGTTGCTCGTCTCACCTCATTCACACGAATGAAAAATTTTGTAAAAAGAAAGAAGAAAACAGGTAACATTTTTTTTTGTTTATCTTTAGAAAAAAAGGCCCTCACCCTCACATCGTTTTATTAGAAATCAGTATTTTTTCAATAGACAAACAACGGTTTTTCTCATGTAAACTTTCGTTTGTTGTTGTTGTGAAAAAAAGTTAGTTATTATTATTGTTTTCCTGTATGAGAGAATCATCATCAACCAATAAAAAAAATTGGAAAAAAAAATAAAAGAAATATTGTTGACACACCTTGAATGATAAGAAATGATAACGAGTAAAACATACACAGAAAATACTATTATATCATCACCATCATAACCGATTTTCATTTTTAAAAAATATATAGAGAGAATGTGTAATATAGACTGAAATTCTCTACATAATGTATTTGATTTTTTCAAAAGAAAATATTTTCCATTAATCATAACTTCTAATCAAATTTTGTTTTTTTATTTATTTATAAAATAGGTTGTACAACGAATCAACCCGAAGAACATTATATGCATCTAAAATGTCATCATCCATATAGTCCGGCATTATCGAAATTCTATGATCGTCGTCATTTTAAATTTAATAATAATGAATTTCCATTTGGTGGTAAAGATGGACAACGGCAAACAGCTCATTAATCGATTCGATGATCAATACAAAAAAAATGAAATATATCAAGAATTAATAATGTTTTGAAGGATTCAATTGGATCTCCTGTATCATTTTTTTAAATAATAACCACCATTGGACCTCGAATTTTTTTATGTTAATTAGCAACAACAACAATTAAGCCAAAAAAAATTATGGTGTCATTCTACTATTCTAATATATAACACTTTAATTGGTCTCTTGCATACAATCATTAAATGGAACAATTAAAAACAAAACAAAACAAACATTTTCTTGTACAATTTTATATACAAAAAAGAAAAAGAAAATAAAAAACACGAAAATAATTTCATTCAATTTTGTTGAAAATCTATTCCACAAACACCCTTCACATACCAGAATTGATGATTATTATTCCGAAAGCCAAAAAAAAATTCCGAATTTTTTGTTTGTTCATTCATTGTGATCGATTCCAACGAATTTCTGGCCTTTTTTTTCATTGCTTTTGATTTTTTTTGATTCAATTTTTTTCCCACTTATATTTCCCATTCTGCTCATGATACAATTATCGTTATTTTTTTTTCATTTCTGTTTCATTTTTTTCGGTGGCAATTGATTTTTTTTTCTTTGGATTCTCTGTTTTTTTTCTCTCTCATCAGATTCTCTCTTTGTTCAAACAAGAATACAATTTACACTCACTCATACACGCAAACACAATGTTCAGTACAATTATCAAATTCATTTCAAGAAGACAACAACATTTATTATTTTTTCGTTCAAATTCTCATCCAATTTCATATTAATATGATTATTATTATTATTATTATTATCAACAATTTTTTTCTGTTATAAAGTTTATTCAATTCTTAAATAGTGTGTATTATTATTATTATTATTATTTTTGCTTGAATCGAGTTATATCACGGAATATAGTGTTTAACGTTTTACTAAATTCTGGGTTGAATGATTCTAATTACAATTTTGAGTTATATTCTAATGTCATTCTGTTCATGAATCATTATAAGTCTGTTGATGATGATCACATCAATCAGAATCATTGATTGTTTTTTTCTTAGCTAACGAGCAACAAAAACGAAAAGAATAGAAAATTTAATGTGGCTATTCTTGGAATACTAAAAGAAAACTTTTCGATTACGACGGTAAAACGAAGTGTGCTGAAAACATTCATTCATTCATTCAGTCGATGAAAGAAAGGAAAAATATTTGGCGTTAATCGAAAAATTATTCACTCATTTTTCCGGTTTTGTACGCACACATAATGGAATGGAATGGAAACATCTAAAATTGAACAGTAAAGATACGGATTTTATTCTTTGTTCAGTTGTTGGATATTTGTTCAATTAGCCACACACACAAACAAACAATATATCAATTTGCACAAAGTTTTGTTGTTTGTTATTCTATGGTACAATTTTGAATGTGTGTACCATACCAATTAAAGATGTATTGCAACAGACAAACAATATTTATTGCATTCTTCCATTCAATAGTTTGGTTCATTTCATTGGTTTCTTGCAATTGGTTTTTTTCTTCTTAATAATGTTTTTCTATTTTCCTCAAAAAAAAGACAAACGGAAATTCTTTCTGATTCGAATTCTAATTCGATCAATCGATTATTAAATATCGATTGTTTTCGTTTTTTTCCGATAAAATTGTTAATTGATAATGTTTGTAAAGGAATGATAAAAACAATTGATAGTTTGAACTTTGCACTATTTTTTTTTGTTGACCAAAATATAAATGAATCTCAATATTTACAGCCTTTATTGTTGCAGCTGCTCTGGAATTTCTTCTTTTTGTTCATCAAAAACAATCCATTTTTCATCTCAATCATATATTCTATATGAAAAAAAAAACAAAAAAATAATGGCCTGGTTGTTCATTTCGTTGATCCATAACAGATTCTCTCACTTTCTTCGGAGAGAATCATTTGGAACACGATGATGAAAGATAGCATAAAACAATTATACTATCATTACATTGTTATAATATACATAAACACACACACACACACCGGGAATCTCAATTTAGCATCAAAAATATCATAAGCATCATCATCATCAACATAATCTTCTTAAGTTCTATTATATTCATTTTATTGAAATGTCGATTCCTGGATACAATCATCATTATCATTAACAACATCATCATCGTAACATTTCTTTTCTTTTTTCTCTTTTGATCATAAATAATCTCTAATTATCATCATCTATGAAAATTCTCATCATTCTTGTTGTTTTGTTTTTCGCAATAAAAAAAGGAATCTATTCATAAAAAAAAGACCGAGAGAAATATTCTCTATTGATAAATGTAATTCTTTCTTGCTTTCGTTATTTTCTTTTAACATTCTTTTCCTTTCTCTCTCCATAATCATCAATAAAATTGTTTCAACAAAATATTCAAATGATAAAATAATCATGATATAATAATAGTTATTATACAAAAAAAAAATCATATAACGATAAGAAATAAATAAATAAATAATTGAATGACAATTATCATTGCCATATATATGATGATAATCACATTATCGAATCCAATTACATAAAATCTATATAATTATTCTTGCAATTTTACCGTTATATATGACCAAATATGAAACCAAATAATAATAATAATTTTTACCTTCCACATCATCACCATCACTGATTCATTCTTAGAATTATCGTTTTATTGTTTTGTTTTTTTTTGGTCCACTTTTTTTCATTTCTTTCTTTCTTTCCAAATAAAAACAATAATATTTTTATGATGATGATGATGATGATCATCATCATCATCGTTTCTCTCATTGAATGACCACGATAATAATAATTTTAATGGCCATAACCATGATGATCATAATCACGTCGACAATCGACAATCATCATCATCATAATCAAAATTATTGGTATGCGACCGCAAAAAGTATAACAAAAAAGAAAAAAAATTCAAGTTGATTTCAACAACAACAATGATTTAGTCATTGAAAATATGGAAAAAAATATGGAATCTAAATTTTCCTGTTCCAAGCAAACGAATCATCATCATTATCATTATCATTATCAATTGATGAGTGTTATCTGAGTGTGTATATATGTGTGTATAATAAATTCATATCATCGAATTCGTTGCCTTGTTTTTGTTTCTCCCCCGATTTCGGCATTTATTTCCTTTCATTTTATTCTTGTCATTTTCTTTTCGTTGTTTTGTTGTTATTACCAGAATTCAAACACCCAAAACAACACACACACACACATAACGACAATAATGGTTACATGGCACGAAAAGTCCATATAATAAAATAAATTGGATAGATTCATTCATTTTCGCCGTCGATGGTTTTTTTCGCCGTCGATTTTTCTGTTTCATGTTGTTGTTGTTGCTGTTGTCACTGGTTATTGTCGTCATAGATTTTTTCATGTTTTTGTTCTTGTTATTATTATTATTATTATTATTATTGTTTCATGTGTAACATTCATTTACGCAACAAATTCAACCATCATCAATGAAAAAACAAAAAAAATTCTGTAAGAATATCGGTAAACGAAGCATAGACCATACACCGTGTTTATATTTTTTATTATTAAAAAACTAAAAAAAAGAGGAATAGTGCCAATTGGACATCATCTTCATACCAAACAAACAAACAAACAAACCAGAACCAGAAAAAAATGTGAATAGCCCAAACTTATATACATTGTTTTAATCAGAAAATAATACAAACCATTTTTGGTTTCATGCATAGCAAATATTTTGTTTCAATGAAAAAAAACCAATGGACAAAATCAAGAAAAAATTCCTATGGATTCCATCATTCTATTCAAAACATTATTATCACCATCACAATGATTTACTATATTGTTTTTTTCTTTTCTTTCTTTTTTTTCAATGATGAATGTATGTGTTTGGTTTGTTTCCGTTTGTTTTGTTCCGTTGTTTTTTTTTTGTTCATCGAATGTCGAAACTTATACATGTATAGTTTCTATAAAAAAAATATCTACATTAACATTCAGAAAAGCAAAAGTAAAGACAATCAATGATAATGTTGTATTATTTGGGAAATGAATGTTAAATGAAATAAACAAAACAAAACAAAACAAAATAAATAACACAATAACCAAATAATATAGCGTGACAAGTACATTTTATTCATTTTTTTTTGGAATTCATTTGATTCACATTTGATAAACTACGATTTTTCTCTTACGTCAAAATGTCCTCAGGTTCCATGTATTTTTTTTCGCATCATCTTTTGTGTGTGTGGGAGTTTTTTCGGAAAAATAACCAAAAGTTTGACAATAAAAATATCGTTTTCTTTATCTACAAACAACAAACGATAAATGATTTTCTTTCCTTAAAGTTTAAAGAAAGAAAAAGAAAAAAGGAAAGAGAAAAAACAAAATGTTTATTTATCTATTTTGAAATCATACATATATCGATATCAGAATATTTTTTTGTTCTTGTTCGTTAAATTTTGTTTTCGGTTCATTCAACAATTTTAAATATAACATTTGAACATCACATTGGACATGAAAAAAATGAACAACGAAAAAAACAAACAAGAATTTGATTTTGTTTTCAATTCGATGGAAATTTTTTTTTATTTATTTATTTTCATTTTCTGGTATCCCACAAATCGACCAAGTTTGATACCAAATCAGAACCAAACGACTATTAACCCGAAAAATCTTATTTCTTTCTTTCTCTCTCTATATAGAGAGACATTGGCATTTGACTTTTTTTTTTGGTTTCCCTATTCAGTTATTTACAAATAAAATCTACAGTGGTTTTTTCTTTTGCTTTGCATCATCATCACCATGTTCAGATTCATACTTAGTGTATTGAATGAATGAATGAATGAAATTGGTAATTTTGCTTCTTTCGATAAGCGGATTTGTTAAAAAAAAATAAATAAATAAATAATTCCTGTATTGTGTCTGTGTGTGTGTGTGTGTGTGTGTGTGAAATAAGAAAATTTTTTTTATATTCTTCTTTTTTTTCATAGCAATTTGCCAAATGGAATCGATAGAAATGATTCTGAAACGTGTGTGTTATGGTGTTTGGTGATTCCTGGATTCTATGATTTTTGTTTTTTTACAGAGCATATATATTGTTGGTACAATCTTGTTCATACAAATAGGATAGAATTCACAAGAAACATTTTGTTTTGTATATATATCACCACACCACTAAAACAATATTAATTCTTTTTGAACAACAACAACAGTCAACACTGAAACATGCAGAATGAACATGATGAAAAAAAAGACCAGAAAACCAGAATCGAACCTTTTTTTCTCTTTTTTTTCTGTTGGTAATTGATCAAAGCTTTACAACGATTGCATTTTTTTCCATTTCCTCCCTTTAGCTTTTTTTTCAACATCCATTCATCCGATACAATCGATTTCCCCAAATCATCAGTAAAACTAAAAATACCAAGAAAAAACAAATGAATGCCTGGAAGAGATGAATCAAATGAACAAAACAGAATGAAAAAAACTACATGACAACTATGACGATGAACGAGAAAACTGCGAAACCAACAATCAAAAAGTAACACATCAACATCAGTTTTCAACAATCGAAAACAAAAAATATTTCAAAAGAAAGGGGTGTATGTATGTGTGGGTGTTTATTTATCACAATATTATAATATTCTAATTCTATAGCGAATATAATATACTCAATAACCACTGAATAATGATGATGATGAAAAGGAAAAACCCAAAGTACAACAAGATTGAACGATGATGACAATGAACCAGAATTAACGAGAATACAAAACCTTTTTTCTCTTTTTTCTTTTTCGTTTTTTTTGAGCTGGTTATAATTCGATTAATTAACGGGTGATGAAGCTATAGTAAAGTTATAGGATAAATGTATTATTATATTGTTGGTGAACCTTGTGTGAAATAAATAACTTTAGAGAAAATAGAAAAAAATATACAGAAATCTAACAGAATTGAAGCCAAAGCCAATACCCTGATGAATTGAAAAGAACCCCTTTTTTTTATTCTTTCCATTCTGCTATTTCTTTCTATTTCTAACTACCCTTAGAATTTATTAGACAAGAATATATATGTGAAAATAATAACAACGATAATAAGCACGTATCCGTTTGTTTTTTTCATTTCATTTCATTTCTATTGCAAAATATATAGATAGTGTATGTATGAAAAATGTATGTGTATTATACTGTATATATCAACTTGATTGGCTTCTCTGGGGAATTTTTTTTCTTCTCATCTTTTGGTGGGGTCGGAGTATTTTTTTTTCATGTTTTTATTTTTGTCTAGAATACATGGTACATGGGTACAAGAAGAATAAAAGAAGAAAAAAAACCTGAATTTCGGATATGAAAACTAACCTATGCGATACTGATAAAGAATGTCTATCTCTCTCTAGTAGATATTATATTTGAGTATTTTTATTTTGTCTCGTTTTTTCTTTGACATCCGATTCTGTATATTCAGACAATCGAAAAACATACATTCAGATACACACACACTCAACATACATATAGAGAATTCATTCATTCGCTATGTTATTTTGGACTAGTCTTGGATTTACCCAAAAAGGAATGTAGTAGAATTTCAAAGTAAGCAGCAAAAAATAAAATCAAGAATATATAGTTTATATATTTGGAAATAGAAATAGTAGAAATGAAATTCTATACTACTACCGCCATCAAAAAAAATCTGCTGGAACACTTTGTCTATGTGTATCGATCCATTCCATTTTCGTTCATGTTTGTTCGGTTATTCAATGGAAAAACCAGATGTATATTCGTTATTATTTTTATCGTAAAATGTAAAAGAACTGAAAATGTGGAAAATACTTGAAAAAAAGAATGCTGCTCGGTTTTCAATTTTCACTTTTCAATAATTTTTATTCCATTCTGTCTGCCTATCTAGAAAAAATTTCTTTAGACATTTGAAATCGGTAAAAATTCTGTGCATCTGATAGTTTTATTTTGAATTTGTTTGTTTGTTTGCCCGACTGATTGATTGAATGAATGAATTGAATTGAATTGACTGGCCTTTTTTCCAACATCTCAACTAAATATTTTTTTCAAAAAAAATGTTTCATTCATAATATTCTTTAGAATTTGAAAATATTTTTTTCCAAATTCAAACACATCTGTCCGAATTTGACGAAGAAAAAGATTCATCGATTACGTAATCAAAATAAAACTGTTATGTGAATCAATTCAAACAACAACAAATAATAATAACAAATGACAACACACCCAAAATAACCAAAAAAGATAAAAGTTCTTTCACACAGACACACACACACAAACATACATATCGAAAAAAAACCAAGGCAACTGAAAATAAAAAAAAATTGACGGCAAAATCCTAAGCAACCTAATGTACTTCCAAACAATTATTATCATTCATTATTATGTGACATTATTATTCAAAAAAATATTCATAATGTTATGAATTCTTTCATTTATTTTTCTTTCCATTTTCGATTCGTTCTCATCTACTTAATCACTGTTTGTTTGTTCGTGTGTGTTTGTGAAAATAACTAATTTTATTGATATTCTATGGATATTGTTTTGTATCAAGTTTTGTTTTTTTTCTTTCGAACATCATCATCACTACCAGATTCATTTATAACTAAGAAATTTAAGAATAAAAGTTTTATCTCATTATTTTCTCTTTGTAAAGTTCCATAAATGAATAATGTTAAAAATGTTAAATTTACGATCATTATCATTACGGATATCACGAATATCTAAACGACGACGATGTCGTCTACGATTTAATGATTATTATTGTAATAATCATTTATCGATTCATCAAAATATTGGCCTTAATTTATCATTATCATCAATATTATTATCATTATTATTATTATTATCATTTATCAATCAAATTGTTTGTAAAACATCGACAACGACAACAACAACAACAACATCGGATGAATGGATTGAATTTGAAGCAGCATTTCAAGGTGAATGTCATAAATCAAATCCATGTCAACAATTATGTTTCGATCTAAATGATGGAACATTTGAATGTGCCTGTCAAGATGGTTATCATTTACATTTGAATGGCTATTCATGTATAGCATTGATTGATTTAACAAAAAATCATACATTTCAATTATTTTCATCATTATCAACAACATTGAAAAAAATTGAATCTTCCAAAACTAAAGCATTATCATCATCTTCATTATCAACGACAACGACGACGACAACTCCAACAACGATCATACCTCAATCATATCAAATCAATCCAATTAGTAAATCTTCCATTGATAATATTATTGATCCATCATCATTATATTCATGTGATGATATTGAATGTGAAGCAGGTGGTGTATGTATTGAAAATATTATTTCAACAAAAAATCAAAAATCATCGATTCGAATAAATAATGATGATGATGATGATCAACATAATCATCATTATTCTCAACAACAAAATCAACATCCAAGAGTTCGATGTAAATGTCCTTTGGGAAGAGGTGGACAATTTTGTGAAAAAAGTAAGTGAAATTCTTGATTTCTTTTCATTTAACTCTTTTATTTGTTCCATACTATTTATTTCAATTATGCAACTAATGTTAATGGAAAAAATCTTTTTTTTTGATTCTTAGTAATCGAAGTAAAGCAACCACATTTCATGGGATCTTCATATCTAGCATTGCCTACACTGCGTAATGCTCATCGATCATTAAAAATCAATATTGAATTCAAACCGGAATCCTATGATGGTGTTTTATTATACAGTGGTCAAGAAACTAATCTTGATGGTGATTTTATAGCTATCATAATTACGCAAGGATTCATTGAATTTCGTTTCGATTGCGGCATGGGTGAAGGAATAATCCGTAGTGACATGCCTATCATATTAAATTCATGGAATACAATCAATATATTTCGTGATGGCCGTAATGCATGGATGCAATTGAATCAAGGACAGCAAATTTTTGGCCATTCAAAGGGATTATTTTCAAGGATTACATTTCGTTTGGAAACATTTCTTGGTGGATCACCAAATATATCACAGATTAGGAATCGTATCAATGTGAATAAAGGATTGATTGGCTGTGTACGACAATTAATGATTAATGATCGTCAATATGATCTTTATAATGATACTATTGATGGTATCGATATTGGTGAGTTTTTTTTTCATTCTTTTCCGTTTATTTATTTATGACAGGTCAACAACAACAAAAACCGTTTTTTTCCTATTGCCCTGCGGCAAAAAACAATAACATTGTTGGCAGATGATAAAAATGATTTTACTTTCAATCTTTAAAATCAAATTTCAAATTTTTTTTTGTTTTGTTTCGACCGTTAGATCAATGTAATTCGGATGCCTGTAATCATGTCACCTGCCTGAATGGTGGTCATTGTACAGTTAATGATAATAATGATAAACAATGTATTTGTCCATTAGGATATACGGGTGAATTTTGTGAACAACGTATGTTTTTTATCTTATCAAATTTTTTTCAATTATCATTATTTTTGAATGAAATGATTATAATTATCATTTTTTTGTTTTGGTTTTGCTTTATTTCAATCACTATGAATAGAAATTGAATTTTCAATGCCATCATTTAATGGATCATCACATTTACAATTTATCGGTTTTGGTGATCAGGAAACAATGTTTAGTGAAATTTTAATCATTATCAAACCATATGAACAGAATGGTCTTTTTCTTTATAATGGTGAAAGAATGGATAAAACGGGTGATTTTATTTCATTAAATCTAGTCGATGGTTTTGTTGAATTTCGTTTTGATCTTGGTTCCGGTGCTGCCATATTAAGGTATTTTTATTCTTCTTTTTTTTCTTTACATAATGATATGATGAATGAACTTTCTAAACTTATGATGATGATAATAAAATATCTCATAACAGGAGTCCCGAGAAAATATCGATGAAAGAATGGCATACAATTTATGCAACGCGTACAGGCCGTGAAGGTCTATTACGAGTGGATGATCAACCTGTCGCCCATGGGCAATCGTTAGGTGCATTTACACAGCTAACACTTCCATTAAATCTTTATATTGGTGGTGTAACAAGCCTAAATGCTATACATCATAATGTTGGAGCTAATCGATTATATCATGGCTGTATACAAAAAGTTATAATTAATGGTCATCAATTATCATTATTGGAAGATGTACTTTCCGGTGTCAATATTGATAATTGTCAACATACATGTCATATGATTAGACCATGTCAAAATAATGGACATTGTGAACCAATTAAACATCATTATCATTGTCATTGTTCAACTAATTTAAATTATATTGGACAACATTGTGAAACTAAACGTAAGCTATATTACAATTTTATGATTATAACAATATAATAAATGTTCAAATCAAATTTACAGTCAATACAGGGTCAGAATTATCATCATCATCATCATCATCATCATCACCACAATCATCATATCCAATGTTCTATGGTAATAGTTTTCTTCGTTATTCCAATCCTATCATATTGGATCGAATACGTGGTTTCAAAACAATCATTCATCTGAATCTTCGGGCTTTTAGGTATTAATTAAATATAGTTGATTTCTTATTTAAGTTTGGATTTTTATTCTCTAATAAATGTAATAAAAAGAAAATATTTAATTAGATAGTTAATCAGTTAGTTAGTTAATGAACAAATTAATTATCGAAAGCATATCATTAATTATTAATCGTTTTTTTCACTTTGATCACTAAATATAAACGGGAATGTTTCTTTTCTTTTCCTTTCTTCATTTGCTTCTTCCATTACAACAAATTTTAGTTCAAGCGGTCTGATTCTTTGGTTTGGTGAATCATCATTACATAGAAATCGTGATTATTTAACCATCGGCTTAAACGATGGTCTTATTAATGTTGATATAAAACTTAGTGTTAATAAACATGGTCATAATTATTATTCAAAAAGATTTATTGCTAATCATACACGTATCGATGATGGACAATGGCATCGATTAGATTTTATACGTATTGGACGACAGATACTTATTCATATCGATGACAATATTACCGTACGTGGCCTGATTAATGGTGAACATAATCAGCTTAATGCTCAAAGTGCACTTTATCTTGGTATGTTTATTATCGAAGAATTTTCAATTTTTTCCAAAGAATCCTCTCTGAAAAATTAATTTTAAACAAAATTCCTTTCAATTTTTTGCTTTTGGCCAACAATCATTGTTTTTTTTACCAGGTGGACTAGAAAATTTGACAATGAATATAGGTGATGATTATTATTATGAAAAAGGATTCATTGGTTGTATATCAAACATGACTATCGATGAAAATTACAACATTAATCTTATGTCCGATTCAGATCGTGGTGTTAACATACGAACTTGTATATGATGATCATCATTAATTTCCACTACAATAAACTAAAACTGTGATAATGCAAAACATCAAAGCAAAACAAAACAAAACAAATGAATATCATAATCACAAACTTAATCTGTATTTTCAAAAAAAAATCCACAATTCTGAATTATTATTATAAAACCAAAAAACAAAAAAAATTATCATTACAATGTACAAAAGAAAAACGACGAAGAAAATCATTCATTTCAATTGGAAATAATAATTTTTTCATCATTATATTTCGATTTATTCTTCTTCTTCTGTTTATTATTATTATAAATTTGAAATTACATTCTGCACACATAATATTTTGAGAAAAATAATAATAATTTGGATTTATTTATTTCATATATTAAATGACAATGTAATTGACCAATATAACGATCACCGACGATTATATTTCGCATAAATATGGTTAAATTCTATAGAATAACGGTATATTATTAGAAGATTTTGGGAAAAATTTTGATGCAAAAACAAAAAAAAATATCCAAATTTCTTAATGTCGAATTATGAAATAACAATAATCGTTTTTTTTACTTCACAAATATTATTTGGTTCCGTAAATGTGAATTTCTTTATTATATGTGATGATGATGATGATGATGATGGTGTCCAATTACAACTATAGTGTGATTTTGATTCGTAAAAATTCCTGCATTTTTTTCTCTTTCGGATAGTTCATTTGCAGAATGTGTGTGTGGTTAATGGACCCGATTTCAACATTCGGGCAAACTATAGAAGAATCCGTGATCGACGACAGATGTGCTTTTTTCTTTTTGTTGTTGTTGTTGTTGTTGTTCAGTATACTACTGAATTACAGTATAGTCAATGACCGATTGGAAAAAGGAAAAAAACTTTTGATTTTTGGCCATTTCCTAAACGTGTGTGTGTGTGATGGAAGTTAATAAGAAAAAACTCAAGTCGATTAATCGATTATAATCAAATATGACTGATTTTGTTGTTGTTGTTGTTGTTTAGCCGGAAAAAAAATTGAAAACAATCATGAAAATAATGATAATATAGTTTGAACTGAATAGCAACTGTTAAATTATAATTATTATTGATGAAATTTCTATGTAAATATTACATCATCATTTAGGTTTTTTTGGGGGGGGGGAAATCTTATGATGATGATGATGACAGTCAAAGAAAAATGAAAAAGTAAAAAATGCTATGGAATTAAAATTTTTCGGTAATGACAAATCTATTTTGGCATTCCAAAATTTCGTTGAATACACAAACATACACAACAAAAATATTTGAATGAAAGACATGCTGATGTAAATGATGATGATGATGATGATGGAAAAGAGAAGAAATTTTCTTTACCTTGTTGATTTTTTTTATACAGGAATCATTGAATGAAAAAAAAATTTTGTTTTTTTTCTGATAATTAATTCTGGATGGATGCATTATTATGCGAACGGGAAATAAACAAATAAATAAATGAATGAATGAATGAAAATTCCTGGGAAACTTTTTTCTTCTTCGTCATCATCATTCCTTCCATATTACTCTTTCGGTTAATTTCGTAATTCGACCGGAATCGGGTATGTGTGTGTATATAGAAAATTCTTTCGCATCAAAAGTAGAAATAATAATTATTTTGGATGTTTTGATGTGCTTGTGTGTGTACAGAACAGATTGAGTTTCACAACCCGTGATTTTTTATCATCATCATCATCATCATTTATGTAACCGCAATGAGAATTTTGAAAAATAACATCATTTTTTTGTGTCGCTTTCTCATTTTCATTTCATTTGAATGCCCGAGAATAAAGAAGAAAAAAGAACGAAAATCATCCATTTTCTTTCACCATTCACACTGTGTTGTTATTATTCAATTTTCAAAAGAATGAAAGAGAGAAAAAAAAATGTTCATTCAATTCATCTGAAGAAAATCATCAATCATTTTGGGTTTATTTTTTTTCTCTGTAGTCATTATTTTATTAACCTAAACATAGATTCGGTTAAACGATGTGATCGAAAAAAAAAATTATATTCATAAATTCCAACAGCTATAACAATATCAATGATGATAATTTGTTAAAATTAATTTCTATCTTTTAAAAGTTTTTCTTTTTTAGGAATAAAAAGCGTTTTTCAAGCGTGAAAAACAATATTAACGATGGATAAAATTTCGTTAAAATCGATTTTGAATTTTTGTTTTTGTTTTTTTTTGAAAATTGAAAATTTATCGATAAGTTTAGCATTTTCCGGATAGATGACGCTGTTTATTAATAATCACGTGTCACATGTTAACATCCTTTTTTTGATGTGTGTGTTTTGTTGTTATGATCTCATTTTTAGGATTTTAAATAGTTTTTTTTAAATTTTATAAATATTTATCTTTTAATTAAATTAAAACATGTTGGCTGAACGTAAACAAAAAGTTATTTATTCGAATCCACGTGGAACATTATGGGCAAATGGTAAATTATAATTTCTTTCTCTATTTTCTTGTAATAATCCATGTGTTTGTAGATAAACAAAAATTTGGTCAACGAATGCTCGAATCGATGGGCTGGCAAGAAGGTCAAGGATTAGGTAAAGATCAGACAGGCATTACGGAAAGTATTAAGCCTAGTTTTAAGTTCGACAATAAAGGTTTTGGTTATAAGTCTAAATCAAATGATTGGATTGAAGATAATAATGTCTATGAACAAATATTGTCCGATCTATCCAAATATCATAAAACGAACACTAATTCAAAAGGGAAACAAAATGAAATCAAAGATCTTGAGAAGAAGACCCAATCCAGTAATCGTTTACAGTAAGTTAACTGATTGAAATCATTATAATTTACTTTATTAATTATAAATTTTTATTCATTAATTAAATTAGTTATAAGAAATTTTTAAGAGCGAAAAATTTATCAATCAAATCCGAACAAGATCTTTACTGTATATTTCCAACCAAAGATAAACAGAAAACAAATTCTAATCATTCTGATGATGAAAAACCAACAATGATCAAAAGTCAACTATCCATTCGGGATTATCTGGAACAAAAAATGAAACGTAAATCAAAATCAATCAAAATCATTGCAAATTTTAATGAATCTAATGATGTTGATGATGATGATGATGATGATGATGAACATACAATCTGTTTACGCAGCGATCATTGTGATAATGATAGCCTGAAAAAACGAAAAATGATGAAAATAACTTCTTATGAACAACATTACAATAATGATGATCCTTTGTGTTTAGCCGAAAATGATGATGATGATGATGACTACAAAGCAAAAAATTTGACTAAAAAACGACGAAAGAAAAACTAATCAAATTTCGTAATTTATTGTAGCATGAACAAAATTATTGCATTTCATTTGAGATACATTGGGGAGGTTGTTTGTTTTGAATAATTAAAAAAACGAAATTCAAATTGGCGATTAAAATTGTTTTTTTATATTGTGCCATTTCATTTTGACAAAAAAAAGAAAAGAAAATAAAACGAAACAAAAAAAAATGAAAATATTCGAAGATCATATTATATATCAATTTTTTTTCCAAATATAGACAGTGTCGACATTTGACCTGAATGTTTTTTGTTTTTCATTCAATAAAGTATTCACAAGGTGGTTTATAATGTTTGATAGAAGGACATAAAGAAAACGAAAGTGATCAACATAAACAAATGTTATGATACATATTTAGCTGTAAAAATGAAATGAATATTTTTTAAAATAAATGTTTAATGTCATTTCCGGCAGGTGTTTAGATTTGCGAAAGACACACCAATATTCTTGAATCCCGAAGTTGATAATTTTATGGCCGATTATGTTTACTGTTTATTGTTGTAGTTTTTTCTGCTCATTGTTATAATTTTATTCATTATTCCGTTGAATTAGGTTTTGTTTTGATTTTCGGACATTAAAAAAGTTAATTGAGTGAACAAAACTTTTGTTTAGCATTGTTCACAGCCAAAAACTTCTTGTGATGCATACACAAAATAAAGGAAGCCATCTTCATCCTGAATTTTTAATGGATAGAGAATTTTTACAATGATAAAGTTTTTGCCAAGATTTTTTTTGTTCTCTATTAACTTACTCGTTCACGTTCATATATTTCACCCATAGTGGATGTTTGACATGCCATTGAACGTCCATTGACAAGAAGAAAAAATGCTTGATTCGGATGTAGATTTAATCGTCGTCTGTTGGTATTGTTTTGAAATGATGATGATTAAGAAAAAACTTCATACAATATGCAAATTATGACTAACCTTATTACTTTATTAAATTCACCAAGAACTATCACATCGGGTACTAGAAATTTAGTTTTGTCCAATATGGGCAATTGTTTTTCACTATGGAAACGTTCAACAATTATTGGAATCTTATCCGGGTATTTTTGACGAATTTGATCAATGTCTTGTTTTCGTAAGGCTAGATTATTGAAGAATTTCATAGAAAAAAGTTATTAAATTGATAGAATAAAATAATTTTTTAAACAAACCAAATGATCGACGTTGTTTAAACGATTTGTTCGATGCCAAAGCCATGATGATTTCAATGAGTAAATAATATCAATGAAAATATTCTGGAAGATTTTGGTTTTTTGATATTTATGATGTTGATGATGAGAATCAAGAGAAAAACTTTGATTTTGAAACGAATTATAGCAGTGATGATTTTGTTTTTCAAATTTCAAAAAAAAATAATTATTATTTTGAGACTAGTAATTACAATTATTATTAAAAAATATTCAAGATCGACGTTTAGAACACAAAGTCAAATGACGTTTTATGTAATGTATTACAACAAGGTGACGATCTTTTATTTTAAATCAATTGATTCATCAATTGATTGCAAGAAAGGTAGAGAGAGGGAGAGAGAGAAAAAAAAAATTAAAATAGATTAAATGATATAGATTTTTTTTCAACTAATAATTTTAGATAAATTAAACTACTATAATTTAATGTGTATAGGTAAAAGGTAGGTGATGAAATTTTTGTTGTTGTTGACAAATAATAAATCTCTATTATTATATATGAACAACAACAAAATGATGATGTTGATGATAATAATAATAATGATGATGATTAAGGATTGTGTAGGAAAAAAAATGGTATGATGTCACATCTCACATACTGTCTACAAATTTACTAATGATAAAGATGATGACAACCACATTTGTTTTTGTATATGTATGACCAAACAAAATAAAAACTAAATCAATTTTTTTTGTTATCTTTTTTTTGAATACATTCTTGCCAAATTATGGACTACGATTGATTGTGTTTAATGATTCTTTTATTTATGATTTAAATAATAATAAAATAACCAAATATACAAACCAGAAAAAAAGTGCGTATGTAAAAAAAACGTTTGACGGACGAAAAGAGGGAATCAAATTAAATCAAATCAACAACAACAACAACAAAAAGAAAACACTTTAGTTATAAAAAAAAATACCAATGAATAATGAAGATACATACAAAAAACACAACAACAACAACAACATGCGAATGCGTATTACAAACGAAAACATTCGAATGTTTTATGATGCACACACACCAACAATAACAAACCATATGATGATGATAACAAATAAAGTGGGAGGGATTTATTTTTTTTATAATGAAAAGAAAATAACAAATTCATAATGTACGTATCCGCGAAATCCTTTTTATCCAAATGGATCAATTTCAGATGAAAATATTTCTTTACTATCAAAAAAAAAAGAATAGAACCTGATATGATTCCAAAATATGAATGGGAAATAGAATACGAAAAATTTAAAAATTCGTAAATTAACAAAAAAAAAAGTAATAATTCGAAATTCAATTGATTTCAAATCAAAGTTTTAAGTGCAAATCGTAAAAAAATGCACTTGTGAAACCAATAGTGACATCTATCGATTGCCGTAATAAACAATTTAAGAATTTCTTTGTTTTTTTTTCATCGCCTAACGAAGAATATAGACAATTTGATTGATACCAATAATGTTGAAAAAGAAAACCATTGCGCATTATACATATTTTGATTAGGAAACAAAACAAAAAAATAGCAAGGACAACCTCCTTTTCCTCCTTTTCTTATTCTTTGAAAAAATGTCCAAAACAATACACTCCTCCCTTTTTCAAAGAAAGATTAGGTTCGGCCTTCTTTTTTTTTTGTTTGACTATACGCACCCTCTTCGCCATTATCATCATCATGGCTATATGGAGAGAGAGAGAGAGAGAAAAGAAATTTTTTTTTATTTCGATCCAAATGTATGTGGTGTTTAAATTGAAATAATGCTTGCCATGAACCAAAAAAAAAAACCAGTATGGTAACACATTTTTAGGATCATAATGATGATGATGATCCAAAATATCCATTGGATAATCATCATCTTTAGTTATAATTCTTTTTCTCTTTTGCAAAACTGATGAATTTAGATTTTTTTTCTGGTTCAAAATCTCTTTTCCAGGTGAATTTGATTATGATCATCAATGATTTTTTTCGGTTGTTGTTGTTGTTCCTTTACAAAGTTTGATCTAGATTTTTTTTTGTTTTTCAAAAAAAAATTGACAAGATTTTGATTACATCGCCATCATCATGATGATGATGATCATGAAAAGGATACAGAGCGAAAAATTCGAATCTCGAAAATTCATTTGAACAGAATATAAATTGGTTCTTTTCATTTTTTTTTGCCGCCTTTTTTGCCATTTCAAAATTGGGTGTTTCATACAGAATTCGTTTTTTTTGTTTTCTGTCTGTCTGTCGTTAGTTTTTTTCTCAACATTATCATCATCATAATCATTGTGAATTCTATCATTTTTTTTTGTCGACTACGCCAGAGCTTGGATTAGTCATAATTTATACTTTCGAATGAATGTTTCAGGCGTAATAAGCATTGAATCATAAATAGGGAGTCATTGGAATATTCGTTTGGTGTTTTCCCAACAACAACAAAAAATCCCAACTGTACAAATGAAACCAGAATCCCATCCTCCCTTTCTTAAAAGATTGAATTGGATCAGATCGGATTGAATGAATGAATGAACGACCGAACGACGACATTTATTATAAAAGAAAAAAAACCATAGGCCATAGTTTTGTTGTTTTTTTTTTTTTTTTTTTTTTTTTTTTTTTTTTTTTTTTTAATTTANGATTAGTCATAATTTATACTTTCGAATGAATGAATGTTCCAGGCGTAATAAGCATTGAATCATAAATAGGGAGTCATTGGAATATTCGTTTGGTGTTTTCCCAACAACAACAACAACAAAAAAAATCCCAACTGTACAAATGAAACCAGAATCCCATCCTCCCTTTCTTAAAAGATTGAATTGGATCAGATCGGATTGAATGAATGAATGAATGAACGACCGAACGACGACATTTTTTATAAAAAAAAAAAAACCATAGGCCATAGTTTTTTTGTTTTTTTTTTTTTTTTTTTTTGATTCGAATTCAGATGAAACAAATGATGATGATCATTACGCGCTTTTTTTTCATCGTCAAGAATAATATTCAGATATAGAATGAAAATGCTGAATGTTGGTTGAATAGACATGCATGTTTGTTTGCTTGTTTGTGTGGGTGTGTGGAGGGTGAGAAAATATGACTTTATAAATAGTTTTTATTTGGTCGATACAATGGTTCAAAGTTTGATTTTATTGGAATAACCAGAACAACAACAACAACAACCACATTTTGTGTTCCATGAAAATATTCGTCGGCTACAATAGCCGCTAGTCTATTAGGATCTTAATGATATATAAACTCAATGATGATAGTGGTACATATAACAAAATACGATAAATCATCACTATACCACACATTCATTTCTATTATCATCAGTTTAGAACACAGATAGTATTACCACTGGAACTGGAAAATGAAAAATGGATGGAAATTGATCACTCACCCTCTTTTTTTATCCATGATCATTCTAACCAAAATATCAAGGAACAACAAAATCGGACATGCGTTCTACAAACAGAATGATCTTTTTTTTTTATTTTTGTCGAAACTTGTCGTTATCCAACAAGGTAGTAGTATTATTGGAACATGCAATAGCCTTGTGTATGTTTGTTGTATCCTTCTCTCCCGCTTCCTCATCAAGTTATTGTTGTGCATTTTTTTTTTCAGACAACTTTTTTTTTCTTCTTTTCTCTCGTTTTGTTTTTTGTGAGCAATGCTTCTATAGATTTTTCTTTTCTTCTTCCACCACCATTGTTGTTGTTGTTGTTGTTGAACATTCGATTCGTTCGTTCTTTTTATGTGTGTTGTGCAAGTGGATTCTTTTTTTCTCTTCTTCTTCTACATCGAAGACGATCTTCTGCTCTTTCTTTCTTTTTTTTGTTGGATTTTGTGTGTGTTTATATTCGGTTTATTTTTTCGCTCGGTATTTTTTCCATCCATTTTTTTTTCTCTTCATACACAATGTGAACACCAACGTCAACAACTGCGATTATATTTCGAACGAATGAAAAAAATGAAGAATTCTGAACAACAACGATGGTGAGACTGCGCTCGTTCTATTAAAAAAAAATTCAACTAAAAAAAATCCACAACAATAACCAATCCAAGATAGAGAAAAAGAGCGAGAATCCTTGCTTATTTTAAGAGTCGTCGTCGTCATCATCATCATCATCATAATAATCATTACTGGTCATAGTTATATTTTTTATTTTCATCATCATATTATCAATATACACAACGATACGTATCTTGTTTTATTTTCTGTTGTATATACGAGGAAAACAAATCTCAAGCAATCCAACACCGACGCGACGGCAAAATAATAACAACAAAAAAAATAAAACATGCACGGCTTACAAAAAAGATCCAAACACAAAATTTGATTCTTCATCATTTGAATTCCAACAAAGATTCTTCTGTATGTATTCTTTTCATTGTTTTTCATGTTGTGGTGATTTTTTGATTCTAAAAGAATTATATTCGAATCATGTGTATTGTCATGCCGTGATAGTGTGGTGAATTCATCTTGCTGCTTTCATAAACACAGACAACAATGTCCGCTATATTTTTTTAAAAATGTTATTATTGTTGTTTGCGATCACCAAATTATCACATGTTTGATGCTTCATAATGATATTCGTTGTTCTCAGATGATTTTATTTTTCTTTTTTTTTCACAAAAAATATTCTTAAATCAAATCAATATCATCAACCAAAATGACAGCTATGAATTTTGTCATCATCAACAAATCAACTATTGAAACCAAATTCGCTCAATTTACAAATTGCTTCCATTTTTACGTCTTCAGATCTTTATGACAAAGTCTGTTTTTCTAAGATTATCGATTCTTGGATTCTCGTTGTTACTCAGCAGCACCGTCACTATTTTGAATTCCTCATTCTTGATCCGCTGTGTTGTTATTTTTTTGTTGAAAAATTGAAATGTCAAATTCTCAATCAATAGAAACTTCATGTTTTTGAAATTATGTAAGTTTGGTTTTTTGTCATTTTTTTGTTATTGTTGTTGATGTTGAAATACCGGCTAAAGATATGTTTGAAACATCCAATACTTTTGATGATTTATAAATCCAGAAAAAATATATTCATTTTATTGATCATCAATTTATTAATCAATCAAATAAGTGTGAAATCGTGCGCGCCAATCCGAAATAAATAAATAAATAAATTGTGTAAATGGCCTTG